GGGGGCTGCCGCAGGGGGGGCTCAGGCTGCTCATAGGGGTGTTTGAAATGGGGGCGGCGGTCGTGACCGCATTGTCCGCCTGGCCAAGGGGCTGGAAAAGAAAACGAGAGAGTCAGGCATCGCTCCAAACCGGAGAAGACAGCAGCGCGGGGTGGAAACCCCCCCGAGAGCCCCTCAACCAGCTGCCCAGGGTGGAGAAAGAAGCTGGGGACACCCCGCTGCCCGTGCTGCCCCTTCCCAGGGGGGAAACATGTGGCCTCCTCTTCCCCCAGCAGGTTCTCTTTCACACCACATGCAGAAATCACCGTCGGCTTTGGGGTTTTCCCAACGCAGGAAGCGAAGCAAACTCTCCCTCGCATCGTTGCCCTGTTTCTAGCCAGGAACTTTTAGAAATTGGGAGGGGGGGAGGAGGAGGAGGGGAAGCCAGGGGGGTGGTCTCTGCCCCTCAGACTGCTGCGAGGAAGTGGCTGGGGACACAGGGGACAGGGCGGCCCACGGGGCCTGCGGCGGGGGGCGGGGGGTCCCGGGGCGAGGCCGAGGAAACCCGGGGGGCGGGTGGTGAGCAATTGTACTGTGCATCACTTGCTTTGTGTATTATTATTATCATATTATTATCATTATAATTTTATTTCAATTATTAAACTGTTTTTATCTCAACCCACGAGTTCTTCTCACTTGTGCTTTTCCAATTCTCTCCCCCATCCCACCGGGGGAGGGGGGGGGGGGGGAGGGACCCCCATCCCCCCGGGCTGTCGCAAGCAGGGAGGGTGCAGTCGGTGTGTGAAATGTAACACAGTTGGGATGGTGCTTTCAGGGCAGTTTCCTTCCATCTCTAAAGATGGGCACCTTCCAGATGAAGGTGTTCGGGTGAATCCCTCCTGCCCCGGCTGCGCAGGGCTACTCTCTGGGGTTTTGATCCTTTCCTGGGACTCCTGGTGCAAGCGGCTGCGCGTTAACGCCTGTGAACGGTGACTGCAGCGACAAGCGCTGCCCTGGGCTGCTGGAAAAGGGACACCATTTCCCTCCGTGAACCAGCCCCCACGCTGGTTCGCACCGTTCCTCGGGTCCCTCCGGAGCCAGGACAGGGCCAGGGATGGGGCCCCGACGCCCAGCCCTGCCCCCTCACAGGCACTCTTGCCCTATGAGGGGGTTTTAGCTGGTTTGCCCAGCCACAGAACAGGACTCCCGAAAAATAAATGCACCCCGTGGAGCCAGCAGCAGGTTGCAGATGCGTGGAGTGTGTGAGCGAAACAACCGCAGACAAATCTGGCCCCGTTACCAACACGCTGTAGAAAAAAAAATAATCACCTCGAGAGCTGCTCCGAATAGCATCACCTTCCCTGAGAGTGCCGGCACGTTCATTCCTCCCACACAACGGTCCCCACCCAGGAGAGAACCGACGTCCACCAGCACAGTGCTCGAAGCGAGCACCCGCGGAGCCTCCCAGCAGGAAGGAAAACAACGTCCAGGGGGGGAGAGGCGAGAGGAAACCACACAGCCGTGCACCCACCCGGCGGCCCCACCGCCCCACGGACGTGCTCGGCTTCCCCGGTGTCCCCGCAGCCATCCTCAGTGTCCCCACACCAGGCACGGGCTGGGGACAGGGCTGGGGCCCGCGTGCAAAGGAGAGGCTGCAAGATGGGGTGGAGAGCTAAGTGCGAAGGTTACAGACAGGCACGATGCTCTTCAGTTAAAAAAAAAAAAAAAAAGCTTTAAAAAAAGCAACGCATGGAAGTATTTAGACCTTACAGACCGCAGCGCAAAGCTCCTGGTAAGACAGCCAGGGTTAGAGTCAAATGGAAAGTCAAATGCTCAAGTTTCTAGCTGAAGTTCAGCAGAAATTCTCCCACTGGTTGAACCCTACAGCTCCCCCGACTGCCGTCACACCCGTGGGAGAGAGCTGGCTGGACCCCTCAGCCTTCGCAGGGCCCCGCGCCGTGGGGTTTCTCTTACCACGCAGAGGACAAGCAGGGCGAGCAGGAGGAGCAGGTGGGTGCGCTGGAGGGGCTGCATGGTCGGGGCTCGGCTCACGGTGTGCTGTGACACTTCCTCATCTGCTCGTAGCGATTGCAGTCGGAAGCTTTAAGCGCAGCCGTGGCCCTGTCTCACCAATCACACCTCCCTTCCCTGCCCCGGCCCCACCGCCCCAAAGGGCCGTTTGAACCCCAGGGTGATTTGGGGAAGTCGCATCCGCTGCCAGTGCCGCGAGGCAGAAGGTGCAAGACACGGGCATGGGGGAATCTCCAGGCGGGGACAACACCGTACAGCTCTTTTGGCCTCACTTCTCCGGAGCCGTCGATCTACATCGCCCGACACGAGAGCAGCTCCTGCTCCCCCTGTTCCCCAGCACGGCCGCACAGCCAGCTCCGAGCGGGACGTCCTAGCCACCGTCTCCAGCAAAGGCAGCAAGCCCCTCACCCTGCCTTTTCCCACATCACAAAATACCGCCTGCAGCGTGAAACCCCCCCAGGCTGAGCTCTGCTTCTCCCCGGGGGCTCCCTGTCCTGTGCCCCGCACCCGTGAAGGACCAATAGTGGTTACGGGTTAAAAACCTCCCCTGGTTCACTTGGGAGGGT